TGTCATAACGGCAGCTTTTTAAGAATTTGAAATTGAAATTTAATTTTGAGATCCTCAGTTTAACATATATTGTGCCTACTTTGGAATACTTAATTAATGGTACGAATTTAATCGTACATTATCTACGTAGTTCATCATATATTCACTTTCAAGTGCGGCCAAATATGCATCACAGCGTATATCCTCCAATAAATTTAGCTGATTATACCCGGTGAATGCTATTGAAGATCTTATTTTAGATCAGAAACCCTGAATAAATCTAATGTTCGTATCCTTTTTTCTACTTATGAATTGAAGCAATAAACCAATTTAAACTAAGTCTGTGACCCATGAGGACGGATAAGAATTTAAATTTAAATTTAAAATCAAATAATAAGCCACAGCGATCTTTTATTAAAATTCCATCATCCTAAAATCCCGCGTGGTCAGTTGCTGATTCAAAAATGTAGAAATATATTCAAAACGATCTCACCTCCCTTTAACGTATGAGCAGCTCTTTTATTATAATGATTTTTTCTTTTAAAAAATAAGCAAGATGAGAACTTTCGGTCGAAAATTGAACCAAATAATGAAAACATACTAAGAGTATCCCTTCTTTATACAAAACTCGATCAAACGCACGCATGATTTACAAAAAAAATTAAGAAAAGGCCAAACATTTCGGAGAAAAAACCAGTGTAATTTGTGGAAGAAATTAGCTCGAAGAAACATGATCTGCACACGGTTGAAAACGCGAGATGAACGTCTTCAAATAGTTACCTTTTTTAAATCTTAAAATGTGGTTTCTTGCAGCATTGACGTATGCTAACTTACACCACTGCAAAAATCTGAGTCTTATATTTAAATTCTCATCGTATTTTGATAGTATCATTCGCATAATTCTGTACATAAAATCATTGCAAGGAAACATTAATAGATCTAGAGGGGGCTAAAGAAGCAAGCAAACCTCCTTTTCCACCAAAAATAGAAGGGGAAATTGGGTGGCAGGGGCAGGATTAAGAGCTAAAAGTGCCAGTTATTCAATGAAAAACCTGGTTTACTCTCCTCCAAATAAAAAATAACATATTTTCTACATTTGGGATGGCTTTTTTCCCCACTGCCGTGATAATTCGGTATGTAGGCATCGTTCTTCTAGTTTTTTTACCTACTTTGATTTATCTACATACCCAGTCGTGCAATTAATTTGAACCGTATTCTGGATATTCAACCATATTGCGAAATGATTGTGATGTGTCAGCTGATATCGATGTATTTTAATGGCAAACACTGAAATGTTGTTTGAATTCAAAGACCCTTTTAAGTATATCGGACACACCCATCAAGTTTTCTTCAAAACTTTTCAGAGGCAAGGTGACAACGTCACCATTACAACGTGGTGACAACGTGGCTTAGTCAGCATTCAGCAATGACAATCGCTACGAGACAAAAGTTGTTGATCTTACTGACTTTCTTTCAGTCGACCGCCTTTTGGCCAAACGGATCTCTTTACTGTGTATAGACATTCACTTCAAATGTCAAGTGCATACAGAAAAAATTGGCGTGTGTTGTGAGTCATAGCTTCTGGTTTGATCTGTATATAAACGATTGTGACGATTGAGCGAAACCAATTTTTGGGGATCATAATAATTTTCATAAGACTTTACTAAATAATCAATTTTTTGGCAAAATGATCACCTATCCCTACCGGGTAATAAGTCGGCAGTGATGACCCATTGATACAAAAAAGTTCAAAGTCGGGCGAAGAGTTTATTGAAAAACCCATAGCGACAATTTTGACTAAATCTTCCATCTAAAATGCATTGCCAGAAGTCTATATTCTTTTCCGCCCCTATATACTTCACAGCATGGTCACAAAAGGCGTACTTGAACGTTTTACAGGCATTATCCACTATACTTTCCATACTTATTTTACCTTACTCATTTTTCCGTCGGTTTAAAATTTGAAAATTACATCGATTGACTTTTTATGTTTCTCTGTTTGCAGCTCATTTTGAGCTTAATTTATCCAAATTCTCAAATTCCAATTAATACTACTTACTTATACGATATTTCAGTAAAATTTTACTTGCGCTAATTGCTTTCGATGCAAAACGTTATTTATGGAACACACGAGCAGTGTTATCCATATAAAGTATCAAGCGGTCAATTTGGCAACAAGTCTCACTGGTCGCGTGTGAGTGTTTTTTTTTTAAATTTTTTTGTTTGCTTTTGAAGGAGGGGGCCATACCGATAAAAGATGATAATTAAAAGATCGTCTATTACCTTTTATTACTCCGTTACTCCATTCTTTTACTGTGTTACTTAATAAACTCAGCTCTAGAACTGTAAAATCAGTTAACCGAGGAATCACTTTGATTTTAACCAGACTGCAAGAATTTAGACCAAGGCCTGACCGTAATGAATGAGTTTCCTGATGAATTTAAAGTACTTACCTTAAATTAAAGCCTCCCATACCCTACAAAAATTCTTAGAACTCAGTGAACGTACAAGGTATCTTTGCAGGCCTCAACCAGACTCTAATTTATAAGCTACTGGCACATTCCGCATTATGTGCCCTCAAAATTTCAAGGTACTCCAGCCTCGCCTGGAAAAAGTTACCATTCCATTTCAAAAACTTGCTCAGCAAGAGATTTACTGACGAAAGTATGGTGCTGGAAATTTTGGTTTGACATCTGTCCTCAGATCAGTCGAACTACGTGAATTTGGACAGCTTTACGTCAGCTCTTATAAATATACGTTTTGAGTTGGTTGATATTAAATTTTTAGTGTCTTTTTTTTTTTAAGTAATAATAATACTTTGCATATTATTATCCTAAAAAAGCTCAACGGATTGAATAACCAAAATTCAAATACGACTTGTTGGGCAGCTAAGTAACCATTGTTTCTCTCATGGTTCGGCATGCAAATCCTTAAATGATTCAATAAACTGAAATTGGTGTAATGTGAAGTGCACGAGATTATTATTCTCATTCATTGCAGACTGATATTTTTATCATGTGACCTACATATCATGCAAACCAGTCTGCTCAACCTCGGGGAACGGGAACTTCCGGATTAATGCATCCTTTTATTCTGAAAATGATAAAAATAAAAATATAAATAAATAACAATTCTGATTTGCATCCTAGAAGTAATTAAGAGTAAGAAGTTAACAAGTGAGTGCTAATTTAAGTAAGATTGGAATATTAGAGACTCAGTCCTGCGAATAGGATTTTTTTTTTTAAATTCAGCAACGCTTGAAAAAAAAATAAAGCAAAGTAAGAAGTTACACTTAGAAATACATTTACATCAGAGACGACCGAAATTTTAAAAATTGAAGTAATTATGACCTTTTTATCATAGCTTCACACACAGCTATGCATTTAAAGGCAAACTCGCCAAACAAACTTTTTCTCTAACCGCGTTGGAGGTTTTTCGCTAAACCACTGTATATAATTCCCTCCCTTAGCCCTCTCCCCTCTCCTTATAGACTGTTTCTGACTTAATGTTAGATTTTTCATCGGTATTCATGGGTTATTCAAAACAATTAGGTAATTTGAGGTGATTCATAAGTGTGGTAAGCAAATACTGAGATGACGGGAAAAAATCGTCGAAGTGCTGGGTTACACGATAATTTTTGACAAAATGTAGATTTTTTTTAGGGGAGGTGGAAGTTGAAATGTGCCTTAGATATAGGTCCGTTAAATGCCAAAAATGCAACGTAAAACCATTACGATTGTCGAATATCGATGGTGAAACTCCCAAACCACATAGGTATCTCAGTTCGCGACGCTGCATCCTTCTTTCCATAATTTATTTTTTTAATGGAAAACCAACCAACATCAGTTCTTAAAAACTCTCATGATTTTTCCTCTCTGTATACGAAGTGAATGAATTTAAAAGAAAGTGGTTGATTTGTTCTCCTTAAAAATAAAATAGAAGTCGAAATTTTCAAACACCGCGCAAACGAGACGCGTTGTTTGGGAGCTTCAGAGTCAATAGGTATATTTGTTTGCTCCCGGTGTAGTAGATTCAACTCAAATGCATCAACATTACGTTAGTTCGGCATCAGTACCCTCTTCAAAACGCATTGATGCAGGAGGTTCGGCAGTTACTCTATTTTTGGTCTAGCGCAATCTTATCAGAGCGAAGCGTGCTGCAAGAAGAAGTGTATCCCCGACATTGAACTTGTTGCGCCACTTGCACAAATCGAGGGAATCCACCGATGACGTAAGGGGCCTCGGATCCACTTTCCGAGTTTTTTTTCGAGTCCGGACGATGAGCCGGTGACGCGAGCGGGATACGGCTAACGGATGCCCGCATGACGTCACACAGGCACGGCGGCCGGGCGGTGGGGGCACAAAAAACCGAGACGAGAGGAACTTGACCTTGGCGTAAAAAAACGCAGAAAACGAGAATGTCGACGCTCGGCGCCGGGAGGCAGTTCGCTGGCATCCCGCGTCGCGCCGGCCACGCGAAGCACGACTCAACTCGCGAGTTCTTTGTTGTAAACTGTGAGCCTGTCGGCGCTACTAACCGATTCGCTTTTGCTTTTTTGCAGGAAGAAGACCGGGGGCTTGGAGGAGTCGGCTGTGACGTCACTGGTGTCATCCGTCGGTGCTTTCCACGGTCAACGGGTTCGCGCTCGGAGCCGCGGCGCCGACCGCCGAGCGTCCGAAGAAGACGACTCAGTCGCGATTTGGATTTTGCGCGTGACAGTGACACTGACACTGACCCCCGACCGGTGAGTCCTTCCCCGAGAAGTGTTTCATGCCCGGTGGTCCCGTCCGATTCCCGATTTCGCGCATAGTGCCAAATTTTCACCAGTTTCGCCAGTTCGTTAACCTCGCTTTGTTCGCGCCCGGTGTCCCGTGCAGTTTGTTCACGATCTAGCTGCATCTATACCGGCTTCTCAGTGGTTTTTCAAGAAAAACGCGGTTTTTCGCCTTGTGTCGAAATAGTTATCACGGGAGTGACGTCTCTAGATCCTCGCGAATTTAGTGCCTCCCATTTGGATTACCGCCAATTCTTGTGTTTGACATAATCGAAGCGCCGCCATGATGGAGGAGTGGAGTGTGGTGGCCGTGTGCATAATATGCGTCGTGTTCGTTCAGTTCTACGTCTTCGAGGTGCATTACTTCATGCGGATGGGGTTGTGCGTGATCCTGGCCAAGTTCTTCAAGAAGCGGCTGTCCATCCTGGACACGGCCAGCTTCACGAGTATCTGCCTGACCACGGACGTGGACATGCTGCTCTACCACATGAACAACGCCCGCTACCTGCGGGAAGTCGACTTCGCGCGCGTGGATTTCTACGAGAGGACGAAGCTCTTCGACACGATCAGGAAGAAGGGCGGCGAGGTGTTCCAAGGGGCCACGACGATCAGGTACCGCCGGTTCATCCGACCCTTCACCTTCTACAAGATCACGACCAGGATTATCTACTGGACCGAGTCGGCCGTTTACATGGAGCACAGGTTCCTGACGGCGGACAATTTCGTGAGGACCATCGTCCTGGGCCAGCAGAAGGTGGTCAACTGCAATTTGGAGGAGATCATCGCCGAGCTGGTGACGAAGAAAGGAGGCAGCGAGAACGCCATCCAGAAACCCGAGTGTCCCCTCGACTTGAGGAAATGGATCGAGTGTAACGAGATCTCCAGCGTCAACCTCAGGAATGGATGTTGATCACCGCTCCTCGTGAGTTAGAATGTTTCTATGTACGTGTATAGTTGTAAATAGTCCCTCGTTATCGTTATTTATGGAAACGTGGTCAGAGAAGGGAGGTCATGAATTAGGGTGGATCCTCGGCTGTTCAGCATTGCATTGCGGGCACGATCAATGTATTTAAAGTTTTAAACCTTAGGTGAATCATTTTGGAAAAATCGAAATTTCAGTCTTTGGGCGAATCATTAAGGGATGTTCGAGCCGAAAATCATCTGCCAAAGTCTTAAAACAAGGTCAAAGGTACTTTCTCCAATCATCCATCGATATATTCAGATCGGTTGCAAAGTGGAAACAGTACTCTTGCCTTTATTTTAAGATTTTGGAAGATGATTTTCGGTACGAGCATTCCGTAATGATTGATCTACAGACTGATTATTCGATTTCCCCAAAATAATCGCCCAAATGGTTAAAATTTTAAAAATATCGATCGCACCTAAAATGCATAGCGCAAAAACTAAAGATCCTCTTAACATCCACTAGAAAATCGAAAAACGCCTATCTCAGCTGCATTTTTTCAAAAATTCCGTTCTTATTTTCTCTTTTTTTCCCAAATTTTTGGATAAAGTATAAATGGAAAAATCAACCAACGGCTCTACATACAATTTTCCGAATAGTCCTCATATTGCAATTAAAAATAACATTTAAGTTCATGAGGAGGATAACTTTCGGAAAAAAAACTTCCGTTCATAAGGGACCCTAAGGTTTTTGATCCAGTAAACCAAATTTTTCTGTCATTGGAGTCGAGCCTCGGGTTATGTAACCTAAGTTTTTGTTAGCTTAGTAAGTATCGTCCTCTCTACCAAAGATTTCGGTAATTTCAACCGGGTCTCAGCTCCTGAAATCGAAAACTTTGTTCACCGGGACTAGGCAATTTGGTGTTCCTTATGAGACGGAATTCGCAAAGACCAGTTTTCTTTTTCGGAGATAGACGAACAAAAAATTGTAAAAATCGCACACATAGTAGGTAGTTTTCTGACTTTCGCCATTAATCAGGTTTTCTAGTTTGCGCAGTGTTTTCAAGATATCAATCCCTTTCCATCTGGCTTGCTTGAAAATCATAAAAAGGTAATGGAAAAAGGGAAAATGTTAATTGTTTTGGCACATTTTCCTTTCAGTTATTCGACCTTCTCCACCCTAGTATACGCCCAGACTACATTATATTTATTCTGTAGAGTGTTAATTCTGTAAGCCCTACGTCTTTTTTTTTGCTCCAGACTCGACCACATTACTTTTTCTGACCACGTCAAGAATCGTTAACTGTTCGTTGAAGTTTCCAATGCGGTTTCACTTATACGATAAGCTGCAGACCAAAATTCAACGAATACTGACTAAAAATAACTGTGATATTTTTGATTTGTAGAAATTAACTCGAATGTGGTGCCAATAACACTTCATCACACGATGCTAGACCAGAGACCCTTTTTGGCCTTACCCCCTCCTCCTCGAAAAGCCCCCAATTTTTAGCCCTCGCGCACAAAATTTGCCTTAATGTCTGTGTAAGTCCAGCGATGAATCAACATAAATCACGAAAATCACTGTTTCCTAGTCCTATTGGCAGAGCAAGATATGTTTAAGGTGGGTGGCACAGAAAGGCTTCCCAAAAAGTCCGGAAAGACCTCACTCCCACTGTTTCAAAAATCAAAATCGGGCCCGCAAGCCTCTTCCCCCCCCCTCCGCCTTTGACTGATCCCTGATGATTTTCTAAAGCTCCGGTGAGACAACACCTGTGTCGACAATGCAAAGTCTGATGTTGTGCTATTAGCACTTATCTTTTAATAATACTAAGTCATAAAGGGTGATCTCATTGTCAGTTGCCCGGGTAAATTTGCAGCTTTTGAGGGATTACGCTATGCTGCACACATTTAAAATCAATCCTTTGGACTGTAACAACCTGTACCTTACAGAGAGTTAATCTGAGGCGCGGTTGTGTTAGAACTGTCGTTCAGAATCGCAAGTTAAAATTTTGAGTTTTTGGCGAAGATTGATGGCAGCGAAGACGGTAAAATCTGAAATTCGATGAAATTAAGACAAGATTTGTTGTAAACAATGGCACATTCAGTAATTAATATGTTTAATAAGACGCTGTTCTTTAAAAAAACAAAGCGTTGTTTTTTTTCGAAACTAGCATTTTTCGTATGTGAATGACTCAAATGTATGTACCACTCTCTACTTTTTTACTTAACATTTAAAGCTTGCCGAGAGTTTTACCTAGATTTTATTGATTTCGACTGAGAAACTCCCAAACCACGTATCTCAGTTCACGACGTTGCAGACTTCCTGTCGCACTTTATTTTTTAAATGGAGAACTATTCAAATGTCCATTCTGAAAAACCTTTGTGATTTTTCCTTTACTCGAAGCAAATTCTGAAGAAACCTAACTGAAAGTTGTTGATTTGTTCTGCTTTAAAAATATAAATTAGAATCGGGCATTTTTAATCGCTGTAGAGAAACGTGGTTTGGGAATATTACCGTCAATATTCGATATAGCGCACGCCGGTTCGACCATAATCGACTACCAGGAGAAAACGGCCTAATACACTGTATGAATAGTGTTAGATGAAGAAAATCATTTAAATTTTTGCGTGACGTCTCTATCGTAAAAAAAATACCGCCACTAGTGTCGAATTTCAAATGAAATTCTCTCGTCTAAGTGACGGTGTCATCCCTCCAGAGCAATTTACCCGACAGCTCCGTGTGAAATCCACTTTTTTTAAAGGCTAAGTAATGTTTCAAGATGCCTTTAACATTTTTCTATTGTATTTTTTTTTTTCATTTTGCTAGAGTTACTATTTTAAATGTGTACGTACTGGCAACACCCTGTTGAGTCCTCCAACAGCTCATTATTTTTCGGTGCGCATTTCATATGCAAAATTTTATTATTTTTAGAGCTCTTCCTACATCGTGAAATCAGTATGCGTGCAATTTGCAATTATCATAAGTTTACGTATCAATGTGTATTTTTACTTCTTCTGCTTGATCATCTCACGCCATGGAAAGCATAATTTTTCCGTTTCATAATTATCCTCAAAACCGAATGAACTAATTATTCTCACTGATTTTAACCGTAATACTTACTGGTGTTTTTGCATCAATTTTCTTTAATCATTAGCGGTCTCAACAAAAGCTCCTTATTGTAACCCACCTTTAAGATTTAGACAGTATTGATGGGCAACTAGACAAGGTCTGATCTAGAGGTCAACGTTACATGTTTTCTCTTCAAAATATTAAGTAGAAAACCATTCACACAACGATAAGTTCAGAAATCAACTCCTAAATGAGATACCAACACGTCCTTTCAACACATATCAAATGGAAGTTAAATTATATACAAATGACGTCATTTGTATATTGTTGCCATTAAACCAATGTTAATTGAAAACCCTCATCTCTTTTTCAGAAGTTAATTTTCAGTCTTCCCTCGGGGTAATTCGTTCTTTCTATACAATTTTGAAGATAAAACATGTTACGGCCTTGTCTAGAGACACACATTATTCAATATTCTCAATAGTAAATAAAAGGAAATATATATTCTGTGCTTTTCATAATCTTCGTAGGTTCTCATGAATTAGCAATTTTGTGGTACGATCACGATGTTTGAACCAAAGCCTTTCAAATCGGTAATATATCTGAATGCTATGTCATAAACCGCTCTTTATATACCATAAAAGAACCCAAAATCGAGTTTTCCGAAGCCTTTAGGAACTCTCATCCATGATAAATGAATTTCCTGTGATCCTGTTGCTGTAATCTTAACTAGGCTAGGCTCTAAATCCCGGTCTAAATCCACTGTTTAGTCCATCTATCGGTTATGTAACTATTTTCACATGAAAAATCAACACATTTTTTAATGAATCACTATATGCTTATTTCAAACGCAGCTGAACCATTTGCAGGCTGCTGAAATTATTATTACTATCCGTGCATTTTTAGCAATCTATGAATGAGACCACACTCACTCTGTACACTTATTCAACAGCTCTCCTCATTACTCAGTGGATGTATCAGTAGCTTTCTTGAACTTGTGTTATGAAACAAATTACGTTGCATTAAAATTGATTTGTTACACTAAAACTCCACGCATATGTGTATAGAAGAATCTCCACGCATCGCTCGTCATGTGTATGTGTTGCTTCCAGTTTTTGTGAATGTAGAGTAAGTATTTAAATTATTGCGAGGTATGATGAATTGAGGAAATTTATTAATTTATTTAAATATTGTCGAAACGCTCTAAGAATGATGAATCCACAAGAAATTTAGTGATAATATTTCTTATGAAATGGTTTTCTTTTCTTTTCTCCTATCTCTTTGGGAAGAGAATTACTTTAAAATTGGACAATTACTGCAAAGTTACCCTTTTTATACTCAGTTTACTTTTTTAATTTTGTAAGAACTTACATTCGAGAACGGATTACGATTTGATGATTCTCAATTTATCGCTTGGAATTTGAACACCGCATACTGTGTCCGAGAATGTTTCAGACATTACGCCCATCGAAGCTGATGTGTAGTGCAACTGGTGCAGACTTGATCCGTTTTCCGATCAGCTTGTTGGTATTCAGTCACACGCAAATTTTTCCATTGCGATTTGCCATTTATTGCGTTTTGTTTAGTTCGCTCGTTGAATCTCATTGGCAATCAAACGCCAAAACGATTCAGATTATGCTAAAGATGCTTGCTCAGGAAAATTGCTGCATTAACATTCAAATTTTGCCAAATTTTCCGCAATAAAATATTTTTTTTTTTTTTTATGAGAGACGTTTTGAAAATGTTTCTTTGAAATTTTTGGGCACAATAGATTTAACTGCGGTTAAAATTTTGTGAAAAATGCAATGAAAAATACTCATAATTATCAAATAATTCCGGCTTTTATCAGCTGAAAATTTGCAACGTTTGGATTTTTATACGGCTTTCTTCCTCAGCATGGCCGACGTTTCTCCCATCGCACCTTGCGAGCTTTTCTATTACAGCATTTTTGCTATCATCGATGGTCTCGCATCAGAAAAAGTCCTATCAATCTGTATGGTCCCTATTCATCGAATGTCAAAATTAAAAATGTGAACATGTATTAAATCTAGTCTTTAGCTTTGTAGTTAATCCTTGTATTTCCTAAATTTTAAAAATGTGTAATAAATTGTGATAAATCAGAAACGCGATCAACGTATTTTTAGTTACTGCCCTTTTATCCTAAGATAAATCATCCACCCTCGCTAATAAAATACAATATTAAAAAACATAAAACTCTGCTCTCATATTGAAGATAAGCTGAGAAAATTAAAGTGGAGATTGAGTCAAATGAGTATATCGACGGTGAAACTACCAAACCACGTATCTCGGTTTGCGACGTCGCAGACTTCCTGTCATTCTTTATTTTTTAAATGAAAAACTACTTAACGCCCAGTCTTGAAAATTTCTGTGATTTTTCCTCTTCGTGCGGAGAAAATTCTGTGAAAATTTCAAGGAATGATATTGATTTGGTATATTTCAAAAAAATAAAATGCGAGCGTAGATTTTTAAACACCGCAAACGAGATACGTGGTTTGGTAGTTTCACCGTCGATATCCAACTTCGGGGAGGCTCTGAAGTACTTTAAACTCTCTTATCGTCATTATTCAATCAATTAGTCAAAATTAATGCTATCCTAAAATCGATGAGGGAGCAAAAAATTATGATGAATGATTTGTGCACGTTGACAGTCTAAAGACTTTTTAATTTCAATTAAGTGTACTATCAACGTAATGAATGTGTGTGGTGCCATCTGTAAAATGAGCATGCAACGCGCAACACTAGAACATGACTGATGGTAACATTAACACCTCTATTGTAAGAAACTTCAGCTTGTTCCCTTGAGAAATTTTCTATTGTAGGAGAAATTTTACGAAAAAAACGACATGGGAAATTGAATGGATTTAATAAATAGTAGCTTTACTGCATTTGGATTGCATTTTGCAAAAAGGAACCAGGACCATTGCAATGTTGCTAAGATTGTAGAACCTCTTTTGTCTTGGAAAAAAACCCTGATTATCTATTAACAGTTTCTATTATACTCGCTGAAAACTGTAAATTTCAGACAAAAATTACCATGTAAATCTCATATTTTTTCATGATTTCAGTAATTTAACTGCAAAAGATAAAGTTGCACAATCTTAGCATCATTGCAATGCTTCTGGTTCCTTTTTGCATGATTCAATCCATTTCATGAGGTCCAACTTCTGTGTGAAGCAGGCTGCATTTTTAAGAAGATATTATTAAAAATATGTTTAAATGAAGAAAAGCAGTGTTGTCAAATTGCAAGAATCACCACTGCTTCACTATGTTGCTTTTTCACGATCAGAATGTCAAAGATCTGCGACACGGAAAGAAGAAGAAAAGATCTGCACCCAATTCCCCCATCGCCTTGAGTATCTACGTGTAATGAGCTCAATAAATAAATTGCTGGTCGCTCATAGTACAGGCACAAAAATAAACTAAGGGGGAAAATGTCTATCAAATACACTAGGAAGTCAAAGACCTACGACTCTATTTCAATCCTATAAACCACCAATCAACACGGCTCACTGTCGTCCATTTTATCGTCGCTACTCTGACATAAACGCGTAACTGCATTTAAAAATGAGCCTTGTCGTCCGGATCACTCAATGCTTTTTGGACTCGCGTCCATATACGCTTTCACGTCGAAACAACGACGAAATGGTGGACTGGACTCGCAATTTATTACGTGAATTTTTGATTAACCGTTTTATTGTCTAATTAAGTGTTATTCAATTTCTGAGTTCGTCTGAATAGTAGAAAGCTGTATGATCCTTGTTGTGTCGTAAATAAGTGATCATATAATATTACAAAACTTCACATGTAACGTATAAGATGACGAGTTGATCAGCAAGTTTTCGAACTCATGCGAACAGTTTCCTCCGCAAGACTATGTAGCAGTAAAGTTTTATAGCTCTGATGTTTGAGCTGTTACAAAATGTATCTAGTTCAAAGACCGTGTGGAGCTTTTTACGCAATTAATTTAAACGCACTTACAAGTACCCCCTCCCCTCTAAGAAAAACAATTAAATGCTTCAATCAGTTATCTCGATCATAAGAAATTGGAATCTTTCATGACATTTGCGGTGAAGAATCGACGCTTAGTATTTTATTAAACCCAAAAATACCGGGTATATAAAAGAAGTTCTTAACATGTCAAGGTATAAAAAGTATAAAGTATAACAAATAAATTACATGTATACGTTGAATATTAAATTAGGAGACGTCTACGTTACCTAGTACTGCTTTCTTAATTTTACCCGTTCAGAATAAATGATCTTATTTTCATTGCTGACGCCATGTACGTATATAATGCTAATATATGCTCAGTTTTTACCGTGTTTTTTAGGATAGTAATCGATTTTGGTATATACTTGTAAAATAAAAGCCTCTCACGCTACTGTAAATTGTGCAATCAAAGAGGATATGTTCTAAACATCGACGCTTTATCGTTCACAATTAATGAAAAATTGGTGCAACTGGCTACTTTTTGCATGTAACTTTCGGCACCTGCCCCTCTTCTTAGGGTGCGTAACGCATCTGTCATGAAGATAATGTCCCCTCTCTCCTTACTTGCGATACGTAATTCATAGTATGAGCCATTAATGTTAGTTACATTAAAACTCGTAGTCTTTATCGCAGACCTAGGTAATCTGAGCCGAAGTTTGGTTTCTGTGACCCAAAACTTCATTCACCGGGGCCAAAAACTTTAATGTTCCTTATGAGCCGTGAGTTTGTTCTTGCAATCCGAGTTCTTTTTCTAGATACATGATTTTTATTTAAAACGCATACACTGGAAAAAAAAACACATTGGATCTAGAGTCCAGACTCTTGAAAACATTGACATGAAAAAATACTCTTGATTCAATCGGATTTTTGCTTGAATCAAAACGAAATCCGCTTGAATTAAGATGCTTGGTTCTTGATTTAAGCTAGATTCTGATTGAATCAAGAGTACTTTTTCTTGTCGATGTTTTTAAGAGTCTCGACTCTAGATCCAATGTGTCTTTTTTTCCAGTGTAGAAATTCTATACCGTCTCACCACGAGGGAACCGTGTTGATTTTCTGGTCGGGAAAATCTCTTGTCCGCTCGAGTTGTCTCTAATTTTCGAAGCAAGTAAGGATATCGAGTTTCTGCGTCCAGAGATAAGCTCCGAGAGGTGAGCAGGTATCAATAGACTGGCAGCTATTAAAACTAGGCCTCTGATTTGATTGCTTGCTCCGAAATTAATTAATTCAACCGAGACCAAAGAGCTATTTTCTTCATCATTGTTTCCACAAGATCTTGACCAAATTGAATCAACAAGGAGCAATTTTTTATATTAAATTTTGAACAAAATCTTGAAAAAATTGAATTAACTTCTTGCGGAACCGCGATGAGCAGATGAGCTGCTTCAAATCATTTGCCAAGTTTTTTGCAGTTTCTGGCATCTACGGGGTAAGTATATATATTTTAGGTAGGTATAGTAAGTATATTTTGACGTATTTCTGCCAAACGGAACTATGTGCATTAAGACATGAACCCTGAGACCCATAAGAATATATGCATAACAGGGCTCACGTCATAATGCACTGCACATAGTTTTCTTTGGCAGAAATACGTCCATATAAGGTAGCCACATAAGTGCGGAACCACGTATCTCCTTTCGCGACGTTGCAGACTTCCTGTCATACTTTATTTTTTCTTTGAAAAACTAGTCATCTTAATGTTTTAAAAACTATACCTTGTCTCTTCTGCTCGGTTAGCCAAATATTCCGTGAATATTTCTATTTTAATCCGTAAGTTTGACTTAATTCTCTTCGGAAAAATGATTCAGGGCTGTATATTTTGAAACATCGCAATGGAGGTACGTGGTTTCGAGCCTTGGCCTTTAACTTAGAGATAAAGACACTTTTTGGTTTAATTTGTTTCAAAAATTGGCGCTATTCTAATGATACCTACACATGAAATATGAATCAACCTCTGATGCGAAACAGATATTAGATTTCCTGCTTTGAAAGTACCAGATAAATATCATTCAGTTTCCTGTCAACCACGGACCACGGACCTACGAGGTCTGTTAGATTAGAAACCGGATTTTGGTCATAACTAGCCCACAATGCGTCCGAATTAGGTTTTCTTGAGCTTTCCTGATAGCTGAAAATATACTTAAGAACGCTACGTTCACAGATTTTATTTATTTTGATCTGTGTTTATTCTGTGTCATCTTGAATACGAGTAAGTCAGGTGCGTTTTGCGATTTTCATCATGCCATCACTGATAGAGCAAAGATTCAACACTAAATTTTGTTTTAAACTCGGTATATCTTGTACCGAAACTTTTGGTATATGCTAAGTAAAGTTTACCATGATCATTGTATGAGATGTTCCCACTGTTTTCAATGGGTTAAACGATTCAAAACTGGTCAGGAGTTCGTCAAAGATGAGGAGCATGGGAATTGACCCTCAACGGCAACTGACATTTGTCACGTGGAAGAAGTGCGGGCAAAAGTGCTCGAAAATGGTCGTTTCGAGCTTGTTGAACAGAGTAATATTTCTGAAGGCTCTGTACATACAATTTTGATAGAATATGTAGACACGCATCGAGTTTCAGGTACGCTTGCCCCTTGATTGTTGTCCGTTGAACGAAAATCCAACCAAATGTCAATTTCCCTTTAGCTGCTTAAACGTTCTAACAATGATCCTACATTTTTGGATAGGATAATTTTCGGTGACAATACTGTAGTGTATGGCTACGATATGAGACGAAACTCCAATCGTCCTTGTGGGTTGAAAAATGTAGTGCAAGACCGAAAAAAGAGAGACAAGTTCGGTCAAACATAAAAATCGCAAAACACCCTTGAGGTTGCCTTACTTCAAGCCACATACCAACGAAGCTAATTAGGATTTTTCAAATTTGTGAACGTAGCGTTCTTAAATATATTTTTAGCTATCAGAAAAGCTCAAAAAAACCTAATTTGGACGCATTGTGGGCTAGTTATGACTAAAATCCGGTTTCTAATCTAACAGACCTCGTATAATATCATCTTTAGAAATGTGAAAATATTGTTAGCATTCTTTTTTTAATGATTATTGAATATCAAATGTAATGAACTTTAACGCATGTGTTGAATTGATTTCGTCCCGT